GCTCCTCGGGAAGCAGGAGGCGGCCGCTGCGTTTAATGGCCTGCAGCTTCTGGTTGCTGCCTTTGGCTTTCACGCTCTCCTGCCTTCCCGATTTTTTTTTCTTTCCTTCCATTCCCACTGTGTAATTGCTCTGTCATATCCTAACATAAACCCGAGGAGCTCAATTCAACGAGGATCTATGAATCAGTCTTAATTAGACCCTCTCAGACTCCTTCAAACTTGCTGTCTAGTTAAATGTAGCATCTCTGCCGGTGACCTGGAAGGCGGCACAGCCCGTCTCCCCGGGCTCTCCTGAGCTGATCCCGGGCTGTGCACGGAAAGGGGCTGGCGGGATGCGGCCGACGGAGCCGATACCTCCTTTCTCTTACCCCTGCCCTGGCACCTACTCCCCACTGGCTTCAATTCAACGTGTTGGAGGTGGGGAGGAGTCAAAGCCGTATGAAAACTAAATGATGTTGCAATGTCGACGGTGCAGCCTCCCTTGCCTTTACTGCTGTGTTCTCTCCTGCAGCTGAGCGCGGCGCGGAGCTGCGGAGCGCAGGGCCCGGAGCGGCCGTCCCGCTGCTGCGGAGCGCCAGGACCGGCGCGGGAAACGGCTTGGAACGTCTCGGAGTGAGTGGTGAAGCTTAGATTTGACCAAGGACAACGCACTGATAACTGCCCAGAGTGTCAGGGTCATGAAGCAAAATTACACTGATAAAGCTTAATCTGAAAAACTTAGCAGTGCAGAAGTATATCCACAGCAAACGTCCAGAGCATAAAAATCATGGAATGATTCCTAATGAACACACACCTGTGTCCTCCCTCTGTATCCTGGTTTTGTTCAGGAGCCAGGGCTGGACAGCTGGGCTTGCTAATTCTAATGTGATGTTGACAGAATTGCAGGAAGGGTCTCTTCCTAGCCTGAGATATGGGCTCTAGAAAAAGTTAAGTCTCTGTCAGTTCTACTAATTGCAGCATTTTTCTTCCTCTCCTGCTGTTGTCAATCACGATTGTTTGGAACAGCAGTTTTATTATGAATGTGCAGTCCATGAAACCAACCCAAATACTCGTTGAAATGTGGATCTGATTCTACACAAATCCTTCACTGACAATTGGTTTGGACTGTCAAACTCGTTTTTGTTTTGTTCTACATGAGGCCTCCTGTTCAGAAACAAAAGTGTTGGCTTTCTAAAAGAACTTTTTTATTATAGGTGTACATTTATTTTGAGGTCTGTTAGAGGTGCTTTTCTTCATGCCTGTTCATCCCCAGCCCTTCTCCTTTACCCAAGAGGTTTTTTCCTGAATCTGAAATCCTGGTAAAAATATTTATTTAGTAGGATTAAAACTTTTATCCTGGTAGCATCTTCAAGCTTTTCGATGTTACCGTGTCACACCTTGGATCGCGTTTCGGACCATCGCGATCCTTTTAACCAACGCAGAGCGTGTGAGACCTTCCCGCTCCCGTGGGATGCCGCGCGCGAGGTTCCGATGGGATGTTGCTGAGCGCTCCTGCTTCCCCTCTTGAGGAACGCAGGGTGCTCCCGAAACGGAGCTTCACCTCCCGTTCCGGAGGGGCTGGAGCGCTCGGGGGGAACGTGCTGGAACTGGGCTCTGTTCTGCCGGTCGATGCCATCTTTCCGATTCCCTTTGCCTCAGGCGAAACGAGAAAACGGGATTTGGTTTTCCTGTTGGACAGGGCGTGCTGCTGGCTCTGCTGTGCTGGGCTGAGCAGCTCCGGGGAGCAGAGCTCTGTCCTGCAGCCTTCCTCGTGCACCTGACTAAGATCGCAGAATTTTCATTCTAACGTATAGAAGAACTACTCAGTACTTTCTTGTGTCTTCAAATAGATTCAATTATCTTCCGTGCGGTTTATGCAATAAGAACTTGCTGATGGATGACTAACCTATAGGATTTGAGGCTCTTCTGTGCAGCTCAGACAAGACACCTGGCTGCGCCTGCAGCGCTCCGCTCTCCCGCTCCTGGTCTCCGTCCACGCCTGGCTCTGCTCCGACTCGCTCACTGGCATTGCCTGGTCTGGGTCTGTGCAGGCAGAGGGTCCCGAAAGTCCTCACGACTTGGATTCAGGTGCCAACAGTATCTGAGGTAGCTGTGTCCAAAGCACTTGGATGTGAAGGTGTGAGAAACAAGACAGAGAAGTTCTACAGCTGTGCTCAGAGCCAAGCTGGGCAGGTTACATAATTTGGTATCTCTGGTAGTAAGAATTGTGGATTAAAACAAACAACAATCAGAACCCTGTAACACCCTCTGCACTACAGCAGTCTGTCTGTGCAGTGACTAATGGTAACTCTGCGGCAGCAAAACCAGCTTCCTGATTAATTTTATTAAAAATGAGCAATGACTTAGTGGCACGTAAGGCCCATCTACTCCTTAAAACTAATATTGGCAGGATGCTCCTTGGGCCTCTTGGGAAGCATCTTCACCCCTGTTCTCTAGGACCTTAACCGTTCTGGGGCACACGTGCTCCCTTTGAGCTACCTGCACAGCCAAGGCCAGCTTGCATTTTTGACAGAAACTCGCGTTTTTGATACAAACAGGCTTTGCATGTAGTTCACTGCAGGAGAAGCACCAGTGCTGCTTTTTTGTCCACCTATTTGTGGTGACTTGATTCTGCGTTTGGAAAGGACGTGCGGCTGCTACGAGGCAGATGCTGGTGGCGTTTCTGCTTCTTTACGTGCTCCACGGCCCATTCCCGCGGGAAGCAGGGAGGCAGCGGAGCAGGGCCGCGATGCGCGGGACGGGGCGCGGGATCCCGGCTCTCCCGCAGAGCCGTTCGGGAGCCTCCCGAGCGCCGCTCTCAGCCGCGGAGAGGAAAGTAGGTCACGTTGTGCTCCAGGGTTACAATAGGATCAAAAGAATTTGTGATTCGTAGGGAACTCGTGGGAGAAGATGAGTGGGGGGAGTCTCGCTCTCCTGATTGCACTAACTAAAATACATCTTTCACCTTTCTTCAGGGAGTATCTGGCGCAGCCGAAACAGTGTCACTGGAAAACCACTGGCTGGAGAAGCCTGAGAAAGGTGTTTGAGGGAAGGGGTGGCTTTCCCGGTTCCTGTCACCGGGGTTTGAAGCGGTGTTTGCCAGAAGGGCCTCCCTTGCGCCGTGCCGTGAACCTGCTCCCCGTTGCCTGCTGGTGACTGTCTTTAGCCCAGGTTACTGGTCTTGACAGTACAGCGAAATCCGCAGCTGTGGATGGCCTGTTTAAACAGCAAGAATAAGTCAAGCTGGAGCACACGGCGCGGTGAGAGTCGCCTGCGTTTCCCCAGGCAGCCGCAGTGATCCCTGCGTTCCCGGATCCCCTCCCGGGAGGGCGCTTGCACGGGCTGTGCCGGGAGCGCCCGCAGGGATGCGGATGGCAGCGCGGGCGCAGCAGCGGGAATTGCGCACGGTTGTGCTCGCTGGTTTTGAAGCTGCGTTAATCCTATCGGCTCCCCTGTGTGTCCGTGGCTCTGCGGCATTCCCGGGACGAGGAGTCCGGCTGCCTTGGCACACGGTGGGAGCGCGAGCCCGTGGTCCTCGCCGTCCGAGTCCTGCTGCTTCCCGCTGCGAGGTGCGAGGAGATCCCCGTGCTGACCCCCTGCCGCCAGCACCGCCCCGCGCTCGAGCCCGGTTTGGAAGAGGCTCCTCTGCTGTGCCAGACTTCCAGTGAAGCAACCGCTGCCTGCGCGTTGCTGCTTGCAGATAAAGAGAAGAAACCTTATAGAAACCCACTTGTTCAATTCCTCGCTGGAAGTATCCAGCCGTTTCTATCCAGGAACGGAATGAGAAGCAGCTATTAGCTCAGTGCGTAGCATTTCAAGCTACTCCAGAACTCCTGGGTCCTAATCTCATGCTTACAAGACTTCTCGGGTCTCTTGTGCTGGGGCGTAGGGCAGCTCTCTTGCTGAGGACTGAAGTGCTTTGCTCTAATCATGCCCAGAGGATGTTTCCTGGGAGCCAAGTGCTAATCGCTCCTGGGAAGTGCACGCATGCACTGAAGGGCACTTGGAGCATCATTCCCTTCCCTGGCAGTTTGGTTGGTTTTAAGGATCAGAATTAAGATCTAAGTATGGCTTCATCCTTCTGGTTATTTTCCTTTCTCAAGGCCAGTTTATTCTGTGTCTGCAGAACTGACCCAAATCTGTCCCCATTTTCTAACGGAAAGTGGTAAATCTCTATTAAAAACTCTTGGAAATTTCCATCTGCACTCAAGCATTGCTGTAGCAATTTCAAGTAAAAGTATTATGCAATAGGATCTCTAAATGTGCAGAGGTCGGTAAACCTGTGTTACTGCTACTAGTTGCAAATAATTCTGCAAGTTCTCATTCAATAACAGTTGTGTAACCATTGGACTATCAGTCTCTAATATAAACACCATAAAGATAAGGCAGTGTCAAATGAATTGCCTTTACCTTCTTTATTGCTCTTTAAGACAGAGTTGCACGTGGATGCTGGTGGTGACAGGGTCTTTCTTTGTAGCACAGCATCATGCAGCACCTAAAAGGTACCTACCTTGTTTGTACCTTTTAAAAATACCCATTCTGAAAGGTGTTTACCATAAAATATAGAAGTTCTGATCCCACAAGCCTCTGCATATACTTAATTCCTGCAGTTAGGTATTGTTCAGTGTTAGCAGCACTTGAGCGTGTTCTTACCTACCTGCTTAACTGCTTTGCTGGGTTTGGGTGTTGTATTTGCTATAGAAAACCAAAAAGGAGGCTAGGATCTGCGTGAGAGAGCCAGGAGAGGCAGAATGCAGCAATTCCCAGGAGATGCTGGGGTACATAGGGGTATTCAGACTCTTTTTGCCCAGGTGGATGGATAGCAGAAAACGCATCTATGTATTCCCTAAAACATTTTTTTCTAAGCTGTTGCTTGTTGTGTACTACTTCCTGCACTAAATGACAGTTGCTGTTGTCATTTATTTGACAAATCCACATTATCAGTGCAAGCACAAACAAAGACAAAAATAAATGTCTGCTAATATGAGCAGATTTATCCGTTCTCGTCCCCACGCCTTTTCCCCATCAGTGTCGTACGCAGCTCAGCCAACCTGACTGCAGAGCGGGTTGGCTGCCAAGTCTCCAATGTCATCTGGAGGGGCAAAGGGCCCAATGAAAAGGGTCATTTTCTTTGCTTCTTCGTGGCATCCCTGAACAAAAGGCAGGTGCTCGAGCAGCTTCCCCTGGGAGTGAGCGTAGGAGGCAGGTTAAGATGTAATTTAATTTAGGGGCCTGCAGGAAGGGAGGCCAATGTGCAAAAGAAACATCTGAGGCCCAACAGTTGCAAGGCCAGGGAAATCGGAGCTGAGATCTGGTTAAGCAGAGCTTAAACGTGAGCGCGATGCGGAGCGCGGAGCGGCGGAGCGCGGCGTGCGGGACCGCGGTGCCGCTCGGCACGACCCCCCACCGCGCGGGGTGCGTGGTGCGGG